AAAAAAAAAAAAAAAAAAAAAAAAAAAAAGGAAAAACGAAAGAAATAAAAAATAAAAATTTAAAAAACAAAAAATAGGAAAAAAATTGAGGCAATGGGATATCCATCTATAACTGCAGTTGTGAAATGACAATTGTCCTCTTCTTTCGATCATCTTTGCAGCTTAGCATCTCCATTTTCTTCCCCTTCTTCTTCTTCTTCTTCTGCTTCATATTCGGCTCCTTTCAAAGAGTAACTCATAACAACAATTTGTCTCTTAAGATGACAACGGCGGTGACGATGACGACGACAACGACGACAAGGAAAATGATGAGGATGAGGGCAAGAATTTAGAGGAGGAAGAAGCGAAGGAAAAAACATTTTCTTTCCAGATTTGGTCTCGAAAAGAACTAAACAAGGAAAAGATTTCTTGGTTTAGAACAAAACAAAACGAAAAAAAAAACCAATCGTGTCAAGTCAATCTTAGTTTTGCTTTTATTGCTTCTGCCGCTTCTGCCGTTCCAATTCTTAGTCTCCTTTCTTTCCTCTGTTCGCCATCTCTGTCGCATTCGTTCAGCAGCTTTCGGTTTTGTTGTGGCCTTAATTAAGCATACAACTGTACTGAAGGGCATTATGCCGTTTTATTATTCAGTAGAAAAACAAAACATGGAAAAAAAAAGAAAATTAAAATAAAATAGAAATGTTGTTTATTAAGTTATTTTTTTTTTATTCTCAAGCAGGTATATTGGCATAATTGTTTACACAGGTTTTTCTTTCGTCTTGTTTTTGTTTTTCTGCTTATTGCTTAAACTAGTTAGTCCTTGATGAGAATTTTTTTTTCTTCTTTTTTTTTTTTTATTGGAAGGTTGTAATAATAAGAAATAGCAACAGCGACAATGGTGATCATAAATACAATGTTAAGTTTGTTATTGCTGTGTAATAATTGACTTTTATTAGTTTAATAGATTTTTATTTATTTACACTTGTTATAACAATAACTCCAAAAAAATCGAAGATTACTTGTCGGATTTTCAATATTTTGTTCTTAAATTTTTTTTTTTTAGGAACTACCGTTCTCATCAGTGTGCTGCTCATTTTATTTGCAAATGTTTGTCGGTGTTTGTCGATGTCTGTGTGTGTGTATGTGGTCGTCGTTAACAGCTGATGATGATGACGATGGTGCCTCAATGTTATGGTATTTGGGGGAAACAATCCAGGATTTCCGGTTCTTATCTAGGTTCAGTGTCTAATTTTGGTCTGCCTAATTGCTGCTGTTTCTTCTAAACGGGGGATTTTGTCTTTTTTTTTTGGTGATGAGGACGAAACAGAGTTTTGCTACCAATATTTCTTCGTTTTCATCCTTCTTTAAACTGTGCATATTGCTTCATTTTTACTCGCCAAGCACAACATCTATTTCATTCTCTAATGTAAATTTATGTGCAATTCTTTTTCTTCGCTGTATATAAATTCAAATCAAAGAGAAAAAAAAAAACAGAAGAAAAATTAAAAGCTTTGCTTGTCAGTATTAGCTAATTTTTTTTTCTGAATGTCTTTTTTTGTGGTTGTTGTTGTTGTTGTTGTTGTTGTTGTTGTTTTGACATAGTTTAGTTTTGGTTTATGTTTTTTTTTTGCTGCTTGACTTTTTATGCTTATCAGGCAAGCTGCTTAGGGGCTAAAGGGAGTGTTTTGGTTCAAATTTGAAGCCAGTTTTTTTTTTCTGTTTTTTTTTGCTTTATTTTTTCTTGTTTTTATGAAACTTTATTTTCTTGGGGTTTTTTCTTTCTCTTTTGCCAGTATACTGTAGGAAATTACTTCTCTTATCAGCGGTGAATTGATGGAAAAGTGTGATGGACATTAAGATGGATATTTGTTTTTGGAAGCTAAAGTATTTTTTTTTTTTTTTTGAAAATAACATTTATGCAAGTCCATGTACTGTTGGTTGTTTTTGGTTGCCGGTGGTATTGGAAAACACGATTAATAATGGTGGAACAGATGAGGGAAAAGGAAGTTAAGCTGTTCTTATTATGATAGCCTTTTTTTTTTTGGTTTACTTTTTCTGCTGCTACCTATTTGTCAGTTGTCAAGGATCTCAGTTGTTGTGAAAAAAAAACTGATAACGTGTAGTTTTGACATTAAACAGTAATTAGAATACAGATTACCTGTCTGTCTGTGGTTATTTAGTCATATTTTTTGCTGTTATTTTGATTTAGTTTGCAAAATTAAAATTCGAATTTTTTAAAAGTTCTGGAAACGGAGCAACGGGAAGACAGCGCAGCATTTTATTATCTAATTATTTTTAATTCAAGCTACTGAAAAGTGGGACTTAAATTTGCCAATTTTGATAAGCTTAATTGCTTTAGTTGGTTTCAACAGACTAGTATTAGTTCTCACTGTTATTGGTAAATGATCAGCTGTATCAGTTTGGCATAATAATAATAAATTCAAGCGGATTTAGCAAATTGGTTTATAGCCAAAAACAAAGTACTAGCTGTTAGGTAGTTTTCGAAAAATTATATTTATTCATTTATTTCTTTTTACCTTTAATTATTTCTTCGCTGTTTATATGTTCACTTTTTTTTTCTAACACTTTTCAACCTTTTTTAGGCTTCTGATTGTCTTCTTATGCACATAACAAAAAATGAATAAGTAAGTTGTAATTTTTTGGATTAAAATTTTTTGCAATTAGAAATAAAGAAAGGAAAATAAAACGTTGGCGACAACGCGACAACAACAATGACGATGACGACGGATTATTAAAGAATATTGAAAGAAAAGCCAGGCAAAACAGAGCAGAAAAAAAAAAAGTGCAACGAATAAAAGCTGCTTA